ATAAACAAGTCATAACAGTTGTATAAGAGACAGATGGGTAGAAAATTTCTTTCAGAGTAAAGGAAATTTTCTACCCTTATATAACTGTTACGACTGGTTTAATTTTTTCAATTAGACTTATTTTTCTGTGAAAACTTTTGAACTTTACTTATAACTAATTCCTTAAGTTAAGTAATTAATTGTTAGCGAAGTTCCAAACCTTGATATTGTAATATTTCAAAAAGTTTATTAACTAATGTACTGGTCCAATTATTTTGAATAGCACAATTTAAAAGTTGTTAATTAAAGATATTGAATTATATTGAATTATCAGCATAAAATCTTTGTATTATTATTAGATTTTCCTTTTAAAAAATATGACTTTACATGAGATTCTGCGATGGTCAAGTTTTTCAAACAGTTAAAACTTGGTTCTTGATATAGTATATCAATTATTATACTTGAAATACTATATCAAGTGCCAAGTATATACTTAGTATATATATATATATAGTATATCATATACCCAATTTTAATATCTGTATCAATATTAACACAATTCTCAAGTAATTAAATGTTTAAATATATATATATATATATATATATATATATATATATATATATATATATATATATATATATATATATATATATATATATATATATATTATATATATATATATATATATATATATATATATATAAATTAGCAAGAACCTGTCTATAAGTCGCTTTTCATAAGGTGTTTTTAAAATTCTCCTTGCATCTTTGGGAAGTTCCAAACCTTGATTTGGCAATATTTCAAGAAGGTCAAAGAATTATCAGGATAATTGTTTTATGTATCATTAACAGGTTTTTCTATTGAAAAGTTCGATTCCATATGAGATGTTGAAATCTTTGAAATTTTTAGAACTTGGTTCTTGATATAGCAATACTATACTAATAGTATATCAAGTATATATATACATAGTATAGCAATGCTATAAAATGCTATAGCAATGCTGGTTTGAAACTGAATATATGCTATTAGCATATATTCAGTTTCAAACCGTTTCTTCCATTATCTGTAACAACTTCATTACCTGTATCAACATTACCACAATTTTCAAGTAATTGATAACAAAAATAAAAATTAGCTAGAACGTGTCTATTTGTCGTTGTAAAAAGACTTCTTTTATATTTGAAAAAAAATGCATTACTTAAAAATTTTAGGAAGTTTTGGCGCTTGCGTTATTTAACTGATTTTTTTTTGATTTAATAAAGCATTCTGGATATTTTTTGGACGAAAAAATTATTAGACGCAAAAAAGACGTTCAAAAGTCGTTTAGATTTTTAATGGGACGGACGGACGCGATTTGAACGTCCTAAGGACGTCTTTTTTACGTCCCGTGCCCACTGGGAATATACACCTATAAAATGGGACCCACTGTCCCAAATGTGGAAAGAAGAAAAAAATAACTTTTTTTTGTAGTTTCTAAAAATTGATTGCAATTCATCGAAAAAATTAATTTATCTAAAAAAAAATTCTAATCGAATAAAAATGACAACCTAGGAAAGTTTGAAAACTCCTCTATTTGTGGGAGTTGTCAACTATACGAGGTCATAACTTTTAAAAGTTAAAATATTTTTACTAAACAAGAATGTTAGAGATGAATTTTAATCGAGCTCATAATGGTAGAGTTTTTTTTTCAAGTGCTGTTATTGCCCGCTTCCAAATATTTGGACTATTTTGAGGATAATATGGTTCCCAAACTCTGGTCACCGTTGATTTTTTTTAAACATTTTATTTGTATTACTATGAAAACACTTGTGTAGAAGTTTTTACTCATGACAAATAAAAATTTTTGAAACTGATCATTTGTTATTCAATTGTTTTTCAATTAGTGAATGGTTAAAGACTAATCAATGTTTACATTTGTATTTATTTCCATCAATTACAATCACTACATCATTACAATCAATAATAGTCAATAATAATTTTCAAATGATATATATATATATATATATATATATATATATATATATATATATATATATATATATATATATATATATATATATATATTCAGTGGCATAGAAACAGGAGGGCGAAGGGGGCAATAGCCCCCCAACTGAAACACTGGGGGGACGGACATTTGATTTCCATACATCAAATACGCATTATCAATAATTCAAATAATTTTCTTATCGTGTGCTTTTTTAACAAAATTTGATTCTGTACAATCATTTTTTTGATAAGCATATCAAGTAAAATCATGCTTATAAAAAATATGCTTAAAGTTTATAAAAAATATGCTTAAAGTTTTGATATTATTTAAATCAATGCAACAGAACGTTCGTGACAACAGGATACGACAAGTGGAAGAAGGCATAACTGTAGA